GGGGGGGGGGGGTAAATTGACGGATACGTGAGTGAGTGTATGGTGTGTGCTTTTGCGTGTGGGTGCACGTGGAGTGTGTACTGTGTGAGACGCACCTGTGCTGTACTGCTGTAGTGCCAGAAGAGGGGGGGCTGCCAGCCAGCCTGCAGTCCCTGCGTCCGGCTGAGGCAACGTACACTCAGGCCCCCCACACCCAACGTCCACACCATCACCCCTGTGCGGCCCCACACCCCCTCCTCCAACCCCCGGGCACCCCCGCCCCCGCACTTGTGCGCGAAGAGCATCGACTGCGCGCTGCACTTCTGGCCGCTGCAGGCGTACGCGTCCTGGTCGCACTGCCAGGCCACGTAGTCGACGTCCGCCACGTCGGGGCCCAGCACCTTCCAGTCAAAGCCGGCATCCTCCAGGAACACCTGGGGAAACGGGAGGGCCGGCAGGTGCGGGCAGCCGGCGGGGCGGGCGGCACGGCGGGTGGGTGGTCAGGGATTTGGCAAGCAGGAGAGGGAAGGGAGGGGGAACGTTCAAGACAGTGGTGAGGTGACGTGGCGGAACCAAAACAGCAAGGCGAACTTACACCACATTATGGAGGCTGATGTGATGACGCACACTCCACATGCACACGCGCACGCCGCATCCAAACCAACACACAGGATGATGGGCACATATACACACACATTGGCACGCATACATGTGTATGTGCGCACACAAGTCAAGAAAGTGCGTGTGCGCCCACCTTGCCGCGCAGGTCTAGGGCCAGCTTCTCGGCGACCCTCTGGCTGCCCGTGAACAGCGTGTTGCGCGGCTCCGCCCCGGCCAGCACGGCCCCCATCGCGGGCCCCTTGCCGTGCAGCACATCCGCGTCCTCCGGCGGCATGCCGCACGCGTGCAGCAGGCGGAAGAGCTGGTCGATCACGATTGACACCTGAGGGGCGGGGGGAGGCAGGGGATCGTGGTCGGGTCGGCCCACTGAATTGGCTTTGGGTGGATGAGGGCCGATGGCGGGGGTGTGCTGAGGCGTGGAAGCGTGGGGGAAGGGGGCAGCATCGCAGAAGTGTTGTGGCTGCTCAACCGCTCTGCCCTGCACACTTCAACGGCCAGCTGCAATCGGCGACGTCGCCCCCCGCCCCCCAACCCCTCCCAAACAACCCAATAGATTGAAACATGCACAGCTCCCGAAAGGCCACATGCCGGCCTAGTACCCGCGCGCCCCGGAGCCGACCCAACCAGTAC